ATCTATGTCCGGGGGCCTGCCCTTTCTTCTCGGCGATCGCGATGCCTCGCGTGCACACAGCGTCTCTTGCAGCTGCGCCTCTGCCGCCATTTTTGCAGCCTCCATCATCTCTTTGATTTTTGCATCGTTCTCCCGCCTTGCCTTTGCAGCCTCTTTCATGGCTTTCTCCTCTGCAATCGCGCAGTTGACAAGGTTGTCCGACTCCATGCCTTCGTCGAGCTCGCCATCTTCTGTCACAACTGCTCCACCTGCAGCCATTCTCGAAAAATTCTGCCGTAGCTTCCTTGAGCTGCTTCACCCATTGCGATTCCGAAGCCTCGAATGCAGCTAGCGCCTTCTCCCGGTCTTCGACCTGTGCTTGCCATAAGTCGGCTAGCTGCACTATGTACTGATTCCAGGATCGGAGGAATTGCTCTCGATTGGCACGCAGCTTTACAATCTCTCGCTTCGCCGCAGCTCGCTGAGCAACAGCCTTGTGAAGGCTGCGGGCTTCTTGTCGATGGGTGTCTTGATGGTGCTTGTCGACCAACTCCCTTACGGAAGTTGGCAAGGAATCCCGATTCGTCTGCAGCTGCTGCAAAAGGTGTTCCAGTGTCTTCTGGTCCACTGACTCTTCTGCATGCGCTGCGGGCGCCGTTGACAATGGGGCCGGAGGCTTGGGTGGTTTCGGTGGTGCCACAATCTTGGCGCCAGGGGTCTTTGGCAACTGATGCACATTCGGTGCAGGCGCCAAAGTATTTTGGTGCACCTGCTTGCCACTCCCTTGGTTGTTGACCATCCCATTCCGTCGTCTGGGAGACCCCCGCCTGCGCGGGGAAGAAGGATACCAGCTGTTGGACCCCCGGCTCTCGGACCACTGTGTCTGCTCCCCCCATGGATTGGAGCCCTGCGCCCCCGAGTATGGTGACGGCTGCTGCCAATCGAGTCCGCAATGACTGCAAAACCTTGCTGCGCCTTTCGCCCATGCGCCGCAATGACACTGCCATGACTGGGGCATGACTCTGATGCCCAAGACTTGTTGTACCCGTGCACAAAGCGTACTTCTCGAATGATGCCCTGGGAGGACGCGAATGGCTCTGCGCACCTGCTCGAGCGGCACACTCTGACCCGAGATCACACCCCGCAGCAATGTGCGAGCTTTTGTACGTCTGCGCCTTTGCCTGCGATGCCAAGGTGCCTCCTGCACCCTTTTCACTTTCACCGTTGTGATGGACTACAGCAACAGGGCAACTGCCCCACAGGGAACAAAACTGCAGGTAAATCACAATGCAAAAGCCCAAGGCTTGGCCACGCATGCACTGCCTTGTGTCAAATATCCACGGGTATTCACAAACTCCTCGCAACGCGTACAGAGTCCTAGAGAGAGGTGAGCTGCCTTTATCTTGACAGCCGCACTTGGGTTCTCAGCCCGCCAGAAGGGACCAGGACAAACCTAGAAACTACCCTCTGCTCGGACCGATACGCCTGGAAAGGCTCCTACCGTATCTGCACGGTTCTCCAAGACTAGCACTCGCACTGGTAGAGGAATCACGAAGACGGATTTCGGCAAGGAGCAAGTTCCAATTGCACTAAGAAGCTGGAAGGAGAAGTGGAGATATGAAGGGGTTCCAGGGTCCAAGTACCTTAAGGGTATGCTCACAGCTTTCCTTGGGAAGAAACGCTAAATGCTAAACCGCAATTTGCATGCCATGGTTTGACTTCAGGTTTACAGCCTTATGTTGAAATTTTGTGGATTTAGTAAGGTCCCAAGATTCTGTTGATGGTTTCAGTCTTTTGAAGGAGGGAAAGGGTAGCAGACGTGCGGCACGGTTGGCATGAAATATCTGCTGTGATGCCCGGAATGATTTAGCACTTAGCATAGGACTGCCACTAGGACCATGAACTTGAGATATCATATGCGCAGCTTGGTTTCTAGGGTCCAGGAATGCAAGTCTATAGCCTATAGGCTTAAGTGCATTGAGTTCAGATTTAAGCCACGCAGTTCGTCACCTCCTAATCTCTACGAGGCGCACTATGAGAGTATGTGAAGCTCAGGTGGTTTCTATTTCTATTCTGTATTTTAGGATCATCTCCGCTGACGTGGAGTTGAGGAGCCTCACCTAAGCTAACATGGAACCGCTTGCCGACAAAAAAGCCTTGCAAAATGTGTGTCCTCGTGAAGGAGGTGAATAGGGAACTTTTGGGGGGCTCCACTGTGCTTACGCATTTGCCACAGAAGTGCAAGGTCCGCTCAAAGGGCAGGTGTCGAGCATTGTTGGTTCCATGGCTACTTACCCCATGCTTATACCCTGAATTTACTGAGTTGATGCTAACTGCACTTTACAATGGAAATAGCAAAAGGTAAGACTGCACTCCTAAGCCTTCAGCCCCCAAGTCCTAAACTCTGATCCTCAACCCGTTGGCCTTCGTGATCCCTTGCCCTCGCGATTCACGTCGCTTGGGCGGAAGACGCGCACCGTCACCCGCCCAGCCTTGTCTATACCTCATCTAGTTAAAGTTTTGGTTTAAGCCGTTGGTCGGGGCCCTTTTTGTGGTTCCTAGTTTTATTGATAGCCCCGGTTCATCTCCATCAAACGGTGTAACTGTTTCAGAAGTCGCCGAGCTACTTAAAGCCTCGCCAACTCATGCGCAATTCCTCAACAAAGATATCAACCATATGCTTTCCGAATCTATGACTTCTGTATTACATTGCAGGGAGCGAAGCGTGAAGTGCCGGTAGTGAGACTCTTGGCAGGAATTGGGCACAACTCCTGTGTCACCTTTCATGGGGACCTGAAGCAACTTCATGCTGCGCAGTGACTGCTACAAGCAGATTGGCTGACACAAGCTAGGCTGCCTTTAAATCTTTCGGGGAGCATAATGTAGGTTCAAGTGCAGAATGGGCTTTCTGTCCAAGTGCTCAGCAACAACTCCCGGAAACATAGTTGAAACCAGCAATAATGCTCTGCATGCATGACAAGACCCAAATCAACACAAGCGGACTCCACCACAACTTAAGAAAGCTCACACCACAAGACCCCCATAGCTTTACAATAAGAGCATTCATAAGACCCGCTCACCTTCTAAACAGACGCAATATTCACATAGCAAGATCCCACAACACGTGCTCTTAAACGACAACTGAGTCAGAAAAAGTTCCATGGGCAAAGGCAAAGTGACCCCGCAAAAAAAACAATGGATAAGAAAGTATAGAAAGACATGGAAGCTAGAATTGTAAAGGGCTTATAAGGATCAGTGTCTCAGGGTATAGCTATAGGATGCCATAGGTAAATGGGGTACAGGTACTCCTTACCGGCGATAGGTTCGTCTCATCGCAACCACTGCGAGATTGCTATAGGCTCTGAGACAGCGGTGGCAGGAAATCCCGATCATGCCAAACATGACCAAAACAACCAGGCGCAAGACTATGAGTCAGAAAGGATCGTGCCTGGTTCAACAATACAATTATAGGAATAGGGGTAGGAGTAAGAACGAAAACAACGTGCGATGGCTTGCGTGGGGTGCACTCCCCTGCCCATACTACAGCATGCACTATTTCTTCGCTGACAGCAGTCTGGAGTCGGTGGACCTTTGCCATGCCCAAAAGTAGGTAAAAACTGGCCTGAAACTCTACATGATCAGCAATGCCATACTTCTAGATACATTGGCCTAAGTAAAACCTTGGGCGTCCCCCAAGTCTTCATACTCCCACCTAGAACCCTAAACCCTAAACCCGAGAACCCTGCTGCCTAATCCCCTCAAGTCAAAGCCCCAAAAAATTGAATTCTCACAGCCCCGAACTCCCAGCCCCAAAACCCCAAGCGCTGACCACCCCAGACCCCAAACTCCGACACCCTAATCACTAAACCCTCAACCCCAGACCCCCCACACAATCTGAACCATACACCCCAAGTAACCACTGAATCTGAAAATCCTAGAATCCCAACCCCCGAAGGCTGCGGCTATCATCCAGCACTTCGGCTCGAAGTCCGTTGAGCTCAGGCCTCACAAGGCAAAGCTGTTGATCTGAAGGTCCAATAAAGGATGCAGCTTTTTTTGAGGGCTTATATAACCCCAAAATATTATGTAGTAGTTTCCATTTTCTTTTCCATGATCCCTATATAGCCATAGGGTTTAGGGTTAAGGGGAAAGTTCAAGTCTTCAAGGATGGAGCCTGAACCTTTAACTTCTGGAAGGGCTAAGAAGCCCAGCTTGGTGTAAACCTCGACATTTTAATAGTGAGGGATTTGGAGGTCAATCGGGGCACAGCATCACCAAGGCCTGAGGTGCTGTATCTTTTTTAGGATTTAGGTTTTAGGGCTCCTGATGTTGGGTTTTGGGTGTGAGGCCTGAAGAGGTGATGAAAAAAAGGGACTGAGTTGCTACTACACATGGGCAAGGTGCCTACGTACGATAAGCCCGCAGAAGAAATCGAGGGCGAACACAAGAGCGCATGGTGAACCCAGCATTTGCATCTTGGGTTCAAGATTAAAGGCTTGAAGGCTCTCTTTTTGCGTAAGGCTGAAATCGCGGTCAAGGGGAATGGTCCCATTCATTGCTACCTTTGGTGTGGGACTGGAACCCGGAAGTTGCCCATTCCTTATGGTTTGCGGTTTAGGGTTTCTCGGCTGCAACCCTTCATGCGCAATGCATCGGGCAGTGGGGGGCGGGGCTTCAGAATGCACCGTACACTGTTGCGCATGCACAGTGCACATGGGAGGTTCTTCATGAGTTCGACTGATTTACTTACTCATTCGGGGTTGTGACCTGACCCTGCTGCAAATCTGTTGCTGCTTTGAGGCAGAAGCTATACCTTCGCTGCAACTTCCAACAAAATGTTCTTGGCGAAGTTGCCGTATCTCGGCAGAGACCCTGGGAAGTGGGACCCAAATTATCTTTCGTGAATCCTTTCTTGCAGTTGATGTTAAAGCAGTGCCAAAGAACCCTGCTTCAAATGAACCGCAAGCGCACCAACGGTGTCGAAACCCAAGCGATATGTGGGAGTCAAAATAATCTTTCACAAAAGTTCTTATGTAGTTATATGGAGGATACTAACGCAAACCACAAGGGTAATTCCTAGCACAGAAGCCCCATATCTTATACTACAGAACTATTTGGGACCCTAAACTGTATAGTAACCTCGAGAAACCCTACTATACACCATATAGAACGTAGGATCCTTTGGGTTCTAGAATGGCAGTCGCGCCCGAACCATCACTTTCACACATGGGATTAAAATCATTTAGATGCTTAGGATCCTTCAGCCCTAAACCTTAGAAGGGCTTAGATTGCTTCGCAGATTCAGTCGATATAGTTACAACTGCACAGCATGCCCTTGCCTGCACCGGGAGCCTTGGATGACTACCTCAAAAGAAGACATTACTGGGGTAAGGTTGAGGTTTGGCGGCCCCATACAAATCAGTTAGCTAAGGTTTCTATAGGGGTTGTAAGGGAGCGAGGGTAAGGTGAGGTTCCGACAAACGAGATCTGGCACGATCTAAGCTAATATGTGTCTGCCTTGCGCAACTCCGCTTCGATCCTTGTTCGGCAAATGCACGTGGCCAGAGCTTTCCGCTGCATTCTTGACGACGGAGCGTGGCCGATAATTCCGTCGCTGCGAATTTTTCTGGCAACAAGAAAGGCTTCCAACATCTATATCACAGAGGCGGGAACGGTGCAGGCAACTTATTGTTTAAGCTTAAGACGCTATGAATGCAATGACTGACTAGAAAGTGCCAGAACAAGGCAAGAGGAAGACGTGGCAGTCAGCTGAAAAGGCTGAAGCAACCTACTTGTGGGACAGTAGTCTTGACGAAGGCTGTGTTTTGAAACAGGGGGCTTGCTCAGTGATACAACTGATAAAAATTAAGAAGCAATCGTGGCCATGGTTGTGGATGATGTTCTTGTGGTGGAGATTGGGTTGTTACGGAGATTGTCCCTACTGCCGAAGCCATAAGCCATGTTGCTTTTAAGGTTGCCATTCCCGTCTTCGAGCTGGGAGTGGTGATGATGGTGGCAATGGCGTCAGTGGTGGTAGCGGGAATTGGAATCTCAGACTGGTTCCGATCCGCTGCATATTCGGCAAGAAACTGTTATTATTGCCTTGAATCTAGGTAGGTAGAGTAGGAAAAGACGCTAATTTTCATCTACACTACAAATATTAAGAGACCATACTGACCACAGGATACTACCTGCATTTTGCAACTTTGAGCTTTGCCTCACCTAGCCCCTCAACAGACGCTTTCAAGCCGGGCTTATTGTCAAGAGTTTAGGTTTAGGGTCTAGGGATTATTGTTTAGGGTTTTGGGATCACGGTTTATGGGTCCGGAAGTTGCGCGTCAAGGTCGGTGCCGTGCTACTCTTGGTGCCCCAGAAGATAGATAACCTCCAAGTCTAAACCCCCAACCTGAATCCTAAAGGCCAAAACCCAAATCCTGAACCCTAAGCTCTCAAGCTTAGACCTTTGAAAGCCCTAACTGGATCTTAAGCCCTGCAAGTAAAACTAAACTCCCGGGGCCTAAATCACAAAGTTTAGGGTATACGGTCTGGGGTTTAGGTAGGGTTGGGGGGTGGGGGTTTTGAAGTTGAGGGCTCTGGGCGAAGGGGTTAGGGCCGAGGACAACATCCCAGGCCCTTAGGCCAAGAAAATCACAATCCTAAATCCTAAACCGCGGACCAGCAAATGCTGCGGCGGTGACCTCCTGCCCCACTGCTGGCATCTTGGGCAATGGGGGCTCCTGCTTGCCATCTTTGCAATCTCTAAATGCCGGTCTGTTGAAGGCTTCTTGTAGCAAGGATCCTATACACTCTCCTTGTCTCTATACACACTCAGGGGTAGAGGTAGAAGCCTGTTTCGAGAAGCAGCAATCCAAGCTATCTCCTCCAGCTATCTGTTTGACAATCTGACAGTCCTCTGATTCACAAGGGCGTAGGGGGGGCAATTTCAGGGCTTGCCTACATGCATGAAAGCTCTCTTACCATGCGATCCCCATGGATTCCTGGACCCTGAATCCTAAAAGGACTTTCAGGAAGCAGAAGCTTTGCAATATGGGAGCCCTACATACACCCCCAAACCATGAGAGGATGTAGAAATGAACATGAAGCTATCATCACCCATCACTTGAGCCCCTGGCCATGCAAGGATAAGGTATGAGGCTTTCAACATTCTGTTTGATTTGACTCGCAGTGCTTGTGTGCAGTCTTCACTATGTCCTTGGCTCATGTGACCCATGGATTGTAATGGATGCGTCCCCGGATGGACATCATGTGTGTATGTATATATATATATATCGACTCACACCACTGAACCCACCAACCTCACTTGAAGCTCAGAGTAAAATCCCCAAAGCCATGCTCAACTTGACATGGTAGTTTTCATAAATAGGGGGACTCCAATATACTGTCCTGATGATGCGGACCCCCAAGCTGTTACCCCTCATTGTAGGAATCTCTCACATATGGCAGCGGCCAAGGCCTCTGAGCCTGTACTCCGGAACTATTCAGTGAGGAGTCCACTAACAATAGATAGGGGTGTCTATAGGAATTATATAAGGATTATATTAGAACAAGCAGTAAACACTCATAGTGGTCCAAGACAGACAGGCGACCAGGAAAGACTCTACAACGTCTACCGCATAAAGAGTATACCAGAGCAATGGCAGCAGTCTTGAACAGGCCCAAGGCACTGTAATTGCTGGAAAGACCTGAAATAAAAGCATCCATCAACAAGATTGATGATGTGAATCCTCGCTTTCTAACTTCTGGGGCCTCTTTCGAGAAAGCGGAGCTGTTGTCTTAGGAGTCCAGGTATCCAAATCTTGGGCCAGACCAAGAAGACTATTTGGGGCAGGTGATGGGTACCACAAGTATATTAAGGCCCTATTAGCACCTAATAGCTCTTCATCAAGGAGCTTTTACCACGGGGGATTGACCATGAAGACTATAGTATCTGGTAGCTAAGACCCTGATATTTGAACATTCCTGAACAGTACCCAAGCCCCTGCAACCCCAGCTTCTTTGTAGTTACATAGCAACTAAGAAAACATTTCGTTGCAGGATGGCTTTGGAAGTTGGGACCTTTCGTCGGACAACTTTAGTTCCCTAAGATGCTGAGACCCAAATCCTAAATCCTTAGCCTTAACCCGAAACTCTAAGTCCCTAAAACCCTAAAAACCTTAAACCCTCAACTCTAAACCCTCAACCCTGAACCTTCAACTCAAAGTCCTAAACTCCAAAGCCCTTGAGCCCTTCAACCACAGAACGTCTCAAGGTCCTTGGTCTTCCTCAGGGTCTCCAAAGAATCATGTCTTGTGATTCCTGCGTGGGGATTCAGGGTTTTAGGGTTTTGGGCTTTCAGGGCTTTAAGGGCGGTATGTCCCAGGCACACGCTGAAGATCCGCGTCGAGTTGAGGGCTGTTTCGTGCTGCAAGTTTAAGATTTGGCAGGTTCCTTCAGTAAGGGAACCCCATTTAGACACTAAGATACTATAATCCTTGTTGTGCAGGCTGCGAAGTTTCAGAAACTCTAAGCCCTACACCCTTAACCTGGAAAGGGGGCTGAGGGCTGTTCACCCTTGAGGCTTGGAAAGGTTTGACCATACGAGCTGTCGGTGCGAGAAGCGTAGCGAGGTCTCAGATTTTCAGCTAAAATCTATTCAAAAAACTTCCGTTTCGATTTTTCATCGGAGACACCACCATGCTGACCCAAAAAAGCCTACCCGCACCTATAATAAGGGAAATGTGGAGTTCACACATATTATCACCAGGGTGGTATCGCAGGGAGAAATGTCAACATTCCATAGGGTTTAGCCTTTACTGTTTGGAGTGGGGTTGGTTGTACGGCTGTGCATGTGTTTTGGGGTTTAGGGCCTGGGCTTCAGAAGGCCATAAGGCCACTGGGAAGTGCAACGTTGGCCTCTTGCAGGGTTCTGACTGAAGTCCCAAGGTCCGATGCTCTCAACACCCAATAGTCTCTGTGTTGCGTAGACCCCAAACCGTCTTAACGTCCCTGATGGCAACTTTACGGAATGCTTACAGTTTCCCACCTTCAGTGTATTTTAGGCAGCAGCACTATGAGAGATTCCACGCGTGTTAGCAGGCACACGGTGGGAGGTTTGGACTATCATCTCTGATCTTGTTCCCAAAACACTGCTGAGGGCCAGACCTAGCTGCTGGAGACACCATGCATCGAGCTCCTTCTCCAGGCTCCGCCTCCAAACCTTCGCTGTTGAGGACTAATCCCCCACCCTACTTGGGCAGTCAGGGTGACCTAGCCAGTATAGAGGGTGATGACTTGATTATGTATATGGCTCCTAGGGATCCTAAGCACGCTTAGTAAGTCCCCTTGACCCTCCAGTCCTACCCTCCTCCCCAAAGGATAGTGGTGCTCGTGCGGTAGGACCCTTTGGTTTCATGCTAATTTGGGGCAGGGTATATTGTCATCTTCTTCTGACATCCTTCGGGTTGACAGCGACTGGAGAACCAAATGGAAAATGCCATGAGAACCAACATTACACACATAAGGACTACCCCTCGTAAGAAAGAACACCCCATGCTTCAGGGTTTTTCAGTATCAGGTTGAGGAATTACTTTGCAAGGTGTAGAATATGAGCTATAATCTAAACTCCTAGTATCTCCCTTAATAACCCCTATAAGACCTCCTTATATAATCCCCTATATAGTACATATGGGGTTTAAGATTTCGGGGTCTAGGGTTGGTTTCCCTGTACCCCCTCAATTACGATGAGGTCTGATAACGGCGTTCGAATTTGCCAACCTTTAAAGCAAGTGACCAGATCAGCATGCAGCGGATTTCGAGCCGCCATGGCTCTAAGCACCACTCTGGCAGCAGTATCTATTTCAAGGTATCTGAGAAAGTGCGCCCTTTTTAGGCAAACTTCTGGAAAGCATGAGCTCACGCCCCCATCCAACTCTAGGGAAGGCTGCTATAATCTTTCAGCCTATGCTTGTGTGCTTCTTGATTGGGATTGAAGGGCTATTGCTGTGATCCCAACTGCATGTCGAACCGTGAAGTCCCGAACCATGAGCCGAACAGGTGCACACAACTCGATAAGACAACCTATACAGCAGCGGGGGCTGTTTACCCAAGTTTCTGTCACTGTTGGAACCTGTGTAAAGGCATGCCAACGCATAAGTCAGAAAAGCAAGGAAGCGAGAACGACGAAAAAGAGGAAGGCAAAGAAGAAGCGGTGCCATGCAAAAGTCGGGGGCGAGAAGGGGCACAATTACTTAAATGCAAATGTTGTCCTGTCAGCTCTCCGAGGAGACGAACAATATGCTTTCCAAACAAGGCTGTTCTTGAGCATTGCAGCGAGTTCTGGCGACTACGGATTGCAGAGTTTTTGGAGCTGGTTAGCATCGCGCCAATCTTAATCATTCCAGGAAGACCTTCCGTTCCATGTAACATGGGTTGTCACTCAATTCTTGAAGATTTGCTCTACCCTGTGTCCATGTGTCCCAAAAAACTGCAACCACACACAACTCAAATCGTAGGCCGGGGCCCAACCTCATCCTACATCTTGAAATCTGAAGACCTTTTGCTGCCGCTGCGCTTCTCCACATGTTCAGAGCGGCGAAGCCTGAACCGTCTGCAGCACCTCATCGCGAGCAGCGGGTTGCAGGATCGGAGTTCATCACGCAAATACGAATCATAGGCTGCAACCCCCAAAGTGTAGGAGGGATGTCTCCAAAAAACTTATGCTGTGGTGAATTTGCTGTTCCTAACCTTAAGCCATGCCTCCAGCAGCGCGCCAGAATGTGCCAAAGGCAAACACGGCTCCTGTACACCTCGGTCATGTGCTTCGGCTTATTTAAGGTCTCGAAGTCAGGAACGTCGCTTTACTCAAATTTCCCTGGAACCCTGTTTGGAAAGCAAAACTTCAGCTGCTTCTTAGGGTTCTGGATGACATGTAAGACTCATTTCAAGGAACTTGAGGACTAAGCTTTCATCTCCACAGACATTTGGGTTTTGCGGCAGCTTTCGTCATGATGTTTAGAGCTAGAAACTTAGGACTCAGTTTTGGGTTCAGGATTTAAGATGTAGGGTATAGAGTTTAGGATTTATTGTAGGGAAGCCCCAAGGCCCCAAGCCGTGAATCAGATTGAGGCATCGTCCTATGGGAGTTCGTCGCTCAAACATATGACATGGAGTGAATCCCATGTAGGAACTCCCTTACTCGGTGTGAAATCCAAATATGTCCCTGCCTACTCTTTGATTGTTGCAGCCGGCACTTTGCATGCAATAGCTTCTGGGAGGTCCAGCAATTCCCCAAGAGCCTTTTCTCATGGAACACTACTTTTGGCATCATCTACATCCCCCATCCCACCTTCTGATTCCATCCATGGATACAAACAAGTACAATCCCCAAGCCCCTGATCCGGCGACCGCAGGCCCAAGCCAAGCTTCAATACAAAATCCCCTTCAAACTAGATCCTTGTTCGCTGAACAACCTGGATCCTTGCTCAACAACTCTTTGGATAATCTGGAATTGGCTACTGCGCAGGCATAATGAAGTCTTGCGCCAAAAGAGCCCAGCCCAAAGTTCTGAGACCCTGAAAAACTGCATCCTAAAGCCATGTAAGCCACAGTGTAAACCTTCAGTATCCCCCCTTATGTCCCCTAGAATACTCCCCTATATAATCCAAAAAAGGTTAGACTATAGATCATGTAGATTCTAAGTCCCAAGGCCTAAGTAACGGTAGAAACCTGAAGCTGTGCGATCCTTCAACCCCATCACCGGAAATACATAGACACCCAAGTCGAGCATGCCTTCAAGTGGTTTAGGGTTTTTGGTTCAGGGTTTAGGGTTTGTATCAGGTGGGTATCCTTATAAGAAGCCTATCTACCAAGACCCCCTGCCCTTTATGAGCCCTATGAGGGTGGAAACGCCCGAGAACTACCCACCTGAAAACACCCTAAACCCCCAAACCCCAAACCCCTAAACCCCCCAAAGCTCCAAACCCCTAAACCCCTAAATCCCAAACCCCTTCACCCCTAAAGCCTACACCGTTTTTTCCTCACTGAGGCCTACAGCCGAGCTCCAGGCTCGAGATCGGGAAAGAGATGTTGGGACGACCTTTGCCCGATTCTGTAGTTGAACTCTGATTTTCTCTAAGTAACTGCTACAGTTCATAGGACAATATGACCCCTATATATAGCATAGTAATTTCCATTTCCTTTTCCATTATCCCAATATAACCCCTATATAACCCTTTACCTCTTGCCCTGCTAGAAGTCACGATTGCAGCTGGTTAGGGTCATAGCTACCCAGACCCCTGGGAGGATCTATAAATTAGATCCCCTATATAGACCCATTATATCCCCTATATGATCCTTATATAATTCCCCCTATGGTTCTAGGGGATCTATTTTTTAGATCCTTTCGGGGGTCTGGGTAGCCAGTTTGGTAGCTTTGGGATGGTCTCCTCGACTGGGGACTTTGCTGTCCTGCTTCGGGTCTACCAAGTGCAGGTTTAGGGTTCAGGGTATATAGGGGTTATGTAGGGATAATGTAAAATACAATGGGAACTACTCTTTAGGGTTTAGGGTTTGGGATCCGATCGGATGAGTGTACGAAAGTTTGGAGATTTCAAAGCAAAAGTCTACTTGGTGCTCCATAGGGAAGAAGGGATTGGATCTCCGTGTAGTACTTGGTTTATATAATCCCCAAGAATTGTGCCTATTAACCAATCCCCCCTTCTTGACCATTGCTAAATTCCAGGGATGTGGCTAAACGTCTCAAACTGGTTGATTGCCGCACACAGTGTTGAAGTTGAATGAGGGTTTAAAAGGCATCCATGGCTCAGGGCTTAAAACTTTGGGACTTAGCGTTTAGGACTGCGTGCTTAGGGTTTACATGGATTTGTAAGGTTTAGGACTGAGGTATTGGGCTTTGGGGCATGCCGCATGCAACAAAGCTTGAGTTTACTGTCCCAATAGTGGAGAGTCAAAAAATGACAGGAAGTTATATAGGTTTAGGAGAATGGTCCGGTATTCCTTGCATAATTGCTACTGTATTGGCTACCTGAAATAGATCTCAAATATGATGCTGGTCAATATTTAAACCCCTACAGTGGGGTTCCGAACTCTTGCAGTTGCTCTGAACAGGGGCAGGGAACCCCTTGGGGGAATCTTCTGGGGAAATGCTGGAGGAAAATGAGGGTGGCTATCTCTGTGGCAACTCCTCCACCCAGTCTCTGTACTATGAGAATCTGTGCGTTTTGTGCAGGTGAGAGAGACATAGAGAGAGAGAGCTTCTACTGCTACTGTAAGGGCCTATAAAAGATCACAAAGATCATTCTGAAGTACACTATACTCTCGAGATACAAGGAATCAGGACCGTGATAATAGGAATTATCACAGCAAACCTCTATACTACCTCGGTTTCCATTTTGTTTTCCGCATGCTCTCACTACACAGACTACATTGCCAGAAGAACCCGGACAGGACAGACCCCCTTAAAAGGGCCCTCTCTTCCGGTACTGGAAAGGGAACCTATCGGGGGATGCCATTGGGGATGCCCTCACATCCACAAGGAGTCACCATGCATCCCTAAGCCTGAATTACCTTAATCCTTGAAATTTAAGCCGCATAGTCTCAACCCTGCAAACTGGAGAATCTTAAGCTTACGCTGTCTGCCCTCACCCTCACCCCCAACCCCATTACCCAGGGCAGGAACCTTGTCGTAGACATCTGGGCAGTAGCCTGGGCATGAAATGCGGTTCAACATCATTTGTGATTTAGGGTTTAGGGTCGGTCTAAGGTTTAGGGTTAAGGATTCGTAGAGTGTAGGATGTAAGGTTCAGGGCCAAGGTGTTGTGTCTTTATGACTCCTTTGCGAATCCTGCCATGGGTGATGTTTCTCTCGGGTCCAAAAAAAGCAGATTGGAATGAGCCCCTTAGGCGTGGGAAAACTTGCGGTTTTTGGAAATTCTAATTGTGAAATACCTTAGGGGATCTGTGGAGAGTCTGCATGTGGTACAATGCTTGGAGATGCTGGTGTGATGCCGCAGGCGCTGTTTGGTGGTGGCCGGTGGGCCCGTGGTGGGTGCAGGCTTTGTATCTATCACTGCGAATAAATTGAAAACTAGCTGTAACCACATACTCGTAGCAACAATGACAAAGGCTAGGATTGCTGCAGCCCCTAATCAACCCTAATGCCTCTGCTCCACTTCCTCAAAGCCCCAATCAGCAAACTTACAGACTTGCACCCAAACCCCTCTACCCTCTCATGCCGCAACAGCCTAAGCTGCTTACAGAACAAATTAAATCTCTGGACCCCACGGCTACCTGGAACGCCTTAAATCCCCAACCACGAGCTGGGAGGCACCCCAGCACAAGCTTTGAATCTAAAGGCTTAGAAAGCAAGATGAACATCTAGAGCCTCATGACATCACATGCACTCCCTACAAAGGCAGCTGAGCTTGAAAAAAAATCACAGTGCCCCGATTCACCCCTGCGGGGGGCAAACCTTTGTGAGGGTTTTTGCCCCGATACAAACCTAATACCGCATAATTATACCCGTCGTAAGGACTCTCAAAAGGCGGTCCCCAATTCGTGAAATCCCTCCCCATGAATGCAAGGCTCATGGATTTTAGGACTGCAAGCCTAAACCCGGAACGCTTAACCTCCAAAATCCCAAACCCTATGCTTGTAAGTCCTCAACCCTAAACTCTTAAACCCAAACCTCTAGCCTCCAGACCCTAAGCTCCGACACCTTAAACCCCTAAAACCTAAACCCCCCAACCCCCTGAGCCTGTAGCTTAGGACTGCAAACCATGCCGGGAGGCCCACGGCGAAGCCATC